TGTCTGGTGCTTAAAAAAATGGTTGAGGACAAAAAGTGTCGACTTTTCTTAAAAGTTTGAAAAGTATCTCTCTCCTGACATCACATGCATGCACTGACTATGGCGACCCGTGATTATTGGAATTTTTTGTTCAAAAAACCTAATTGGAGGAGATAAAGTGATATACAATTGACTTAGCTTAAGTCATAGTCCACTCGTCACAATCATTGGTACACACTCTAATTTTGCAATTTGAACACAGCATATTCAAATGATTGCGCAGAGCATACATCTGATAATCTCATCATCCATGGCGATTCAAGAAGAACAGAAGGCCATTTTCGTTATCTTCACCAATGATTCACTACTACAAATATCTAAGGTATTAAGCCAATTAATTAATTTGTATATATAACTACCTTTATTTTGTTGAGTTTGCGAATTAATCTGATGCGTGATTAGATCTGGTTTTAAAGAAACTGCTGGGTTAGCTGTTGCTTTTAATTTGTTCTTGTGTTTTCATGCATGCTGACATGTTTTATTTTCTTTTCTCTGCTTTCTTGTGTAATGGTAATTTACAGATCTACAAAGAGATTTGTGGTTTGCACTAACAGCACAGTAAACTTGAAATTCGATGATTACAAGTGAGGGGTTGAATAGTACAACGTTTTGGTTAAAGTAACTTTTAAGTTTAGGTAAACATATCGACTGGTGATGACTATGTAGCACGGGCACTTCAATTAGAGTAATTTATTTGTGTCCGACACGTGTTAAATATCAATACTCCTTGGACAATTTGACATAGTCATTTTATTTTATTTATCAAAAATATTATATATCGTTAACTCAAAATTATTATTAAATAACAAATAGGTACTCATATTTAAAAAGATTTCAAAAAGAAAAATTAGTAACGATTATAAAACTAAATTTATACTATATAAATGAAAAATTTTAATGAATTAAATTAACGTGTCTGTCAGTACTTTTTTGAAAAATTACGTATCGGACACTCGAGGTATCCGGCACGTGTAGATCTTCTAGGTGACTGGTGTGATAAGCAAATTGCTAAACACTGAACTCTCTCCCAAAATTTTCAAGTTACTTTATTAGATCAATTCGCGAGAAAAATCAATGCTGGGTTGACTTAAACCTATCTATTTCTAAAAGTGAAATTGACGCAAATAGTCTCAAATGTTTGCCCATCTTGCATTTTTTACGTTCTTGGGTGAATTGATCCTTTGAACGGATTCCGCTCAAAAAGATCGTTAGTTCTGTATGTGGAATGCAGTTGTTTATATTTTGTCTTTATTAAATGGATAAACTTCAAAAACCCGAATTTTAGTGAATTCGAACATATTTGATGCTTGCTAAATGCTAAACTAGGTTATTTATTTTGTTGGTGTTACTTTTTCTTGTGTTAGCTAATTGAAATATGCATACTTGCTATGCCACGTAGTGGACGAGAGAGATTTGAGTTTAATTTGGGAAGTGGTTATTTTCATCGAGGGATTATGGGTCATTTTCATTGGACGGCAGCGGTGGTGGTAGTGGGGTTGTGCAAGACTGCGCAATGGGTGGAAGATGAACATATTATTATTATTATTATTTAATTCTTTTCTTTTTTAAGAAAATTACTTTTTACTTGTTTTATTTTTATTTGATGAAATTGCCGCTTCAAATAAAAATAAAATAAGAACAATTGCATTCTGCTCACAAAATTAAAGGTCCTTTTGACGGACAATGCAAAGGTTTGAGACTATTTTCACAAAGTTTTAAAGGTTTGAACCAAAAGCGCAAGATGGACAAAAAGTTTGGAAAAATTTATGCCAATTTCCCATTTTAAAACTTAGAATAAAAAGTTTTTTTTGTTTTATTTTGACTGCAAAACTTCTTATGCCCCTATTTGCTATCGATTAAAATAAATATTCTAATTTAAGTCAAAGTCAAAAATTAATTTTAACCACACATTTTATGGGACTTACAATTTTCCAACCACACATTTCATCCATTTTTATTAAAATCTGCTAAAAATTTGATTTTAATCCTTACCAAAGCTAAATATTATGCCTTGCACCCAGCATTGNATCTCGTGTTGTAAGCTTTCTTTAAATTGTGATCAAATCTACTTTTGTCCCGATACGGACCGAGAAAAGGCGAAAGGTAGTCTAGCGGAGCAGACTACTACCGCACGGTGTCCCTTTCGGTGCTAAGAAGAAAGGTAACCCGTGAAACCAGGCCTTGCGTTGTCCATCCCACCATTTTAGATGTATCGTGCTAGACCTGGGTCTCTAAGCCCACGTCTGGTGCCATCTACCTAGAAATATTTATCAAACTATCAATTAGAATGTAACTATGTTTCTCGGGAAATATTTAATAAAATGTAATTATATGAGAAACCAATGTATAATTAGCAGTCATAGCCTAAACCCAAACTTTTAGAACCAGACAAGTTCTTTCAGCAAATTCTTCTTCCCACAAATGATCTAGTTGCATAACAAATCAAAAGAATAACCAAGGACGGATAGCCCGGCCCCCACCCACTGAAATTTTTTAAGTTAAAAAAAAAAAAATCATGTAATTTTTTTTTTTTACGTATTAGCCCGGCTTATAATCCGGTCATAGATGAGAATAACTATAAAGAATTTTCACTGTTGACATTCAACTTCTAACAGATTATTTAGAAAAGAAGATACGAATCTGCTCATTTGCTAACAAACCAAACTGTAGTTAAGTTGTATTTTACCTAAATCTCATCACTTATCTCTAAACAACTGTAGTTAATGACCTAGTTGCAAAAAGGTTCCAATGGACGGAGGGACGAGTTTTGCTACTTTTTCGAAAGGCTGGTGATGTCTGGTGCTAAAAAAAAGGTTGAGGACAAAAAGTGTGTGACTTTTCTTAAATGTTTGAAAAGTATCTCTATCCTGACATGAACGCACTGACTAGGGCGACCCGTGATTGGTGGAATTTTTTGTTCAAAAAACCTAATTGGAGGAGATAATTAACTTAGCTTCAATTATAGTCCACTCACACACTATAATTTTGCAATTTGAACACAAATGATTGCGCAGAGCATACATCTGATAATCTCATCATCCATGGCGATTCAAGAAGAACAGAAGACCAGTTTAGTTATCTTCACCAATGATTCACTACTACAAATATCTAAGGTATTAAGTCAATTAATTAATTTGTATATATAACTACCTTTATTTTGTTGAGTTTGCGAATTAATTGATGCGTGATTTGATCTGGTTTTAAAGAAACTGCTGGGTTAGCGGTTGCTTTTAATTTGTTCTTGTGTTTTCATGCATGCTTACATGTTTTATTTTCTTTTCTCTGCTTTCTTGTGTAATGGTAATTTACATCTACAAAGAGATTTACAGCACAGTAAACTTGAAATTCGATGATTACAAGTGAGGGGTTGAATAGTACAACGTTTTGGTTAAAGTAACTTTTAAGTTTAAGTAAACATATCGACTGGTGATGACTATGTAGCACGGGCATTTCAATTAGAGTAATTTATTTGTGTCCGACACGTGTTAAATATCGATACTCCTTGGACAATTTGACATAGTCATTTTATTTTATTTATCAAAAATATTATATATCGTTAACTCAAAATTATTATTAAATAACAAATAGGTACTCATATTTAAAAAGATTTCGAAAAGAAAAATTAGTAACGAGTATAAAACTAAATTTATACTATATAAATGAAAAATTTTAATGAATTAAATTAACGTGTCTGTCAGTACTTTTTTGAAAAATCGCGTATCGGACACTCGAGGTATCTGGCACGTGTAGATCTTCTAGGTGACTGGTGTGATAAGCAAATTGCTAAACACTGAACTCTCTCCCAAAATTTTCAAGTTACTTTATTGGATCAATTCGTGAGAAAAATCAATGTTGGGTTGATGTAAACCAATCTATTTCTAAAAGGGAAATTGACGCAAATAGTCTCAAATGTTTGCCCATCTGGCATTTTTTACGTTCTTGGGTGAATTGATCCTTTGAACGGATTCCGCTCAAAAAGATCGTGAGTTCTGTATGTGGAATGCAATTGCTTTTATTTTGTCTTTATTAAATGGATAAACCCGAATTTTAGTGAATTCGAACATATTTGATGCTTGCTAAATGCTAAACTAGGTTATTTTATTTTGTTGGTGTTACTTTTTCTTGTGTTAGCTAATTGAAATATGCATACTTGCTATGCCTCGTAGTGGACGAGAGAGATTTGAGTTTAATTTGGGAAGTGGTTATTTTCATTGAGGGATTATGGGTCATTTTCATTGGACGGCAGCGGTGGTGGTAGTGGGGTTGTGCAAGACTGCGCAATGGGTGGAAGATGAACATATTATTATTATTATTATTATTTTAATTCTTTTCTTTTTTAAGAAAATTACTTTTTACTTGTTTTATTTTTATTTGATGAAATTGCCCTTTCAAATAAAAATAAAATAATAGCAATTGCATTCTGCTCACAAAATTAAAGGTCCTTTTGACGAACAATGCAAAGGTTTGAGGCTCTTTTCACAAAGTTTTAAAGGTTTGAACCAAAAGCGCAAGATGGACAAAAAGTTTGGAAATATTTATGTCAATTCCCATTTTAAAACTTACAATAAAAAGTTTTATTTTGACTGCAAAACTTCTTATGACTTACAATTTTCCAACCACACATTTCATCCATTTTTATTAAAATCTGTTAAAAATCTTATTTTAATCCTTACCAAAGCTAAATATTATGCCTTGCACCCAGCATTGACTAATACATACATTTTGCTAATTTAATTATCATTACTTTACGATTTTCTTATATGAAGAGAACCTAATTCTGTACGTAATATAAGAAAACGAAGATAATAATACTTTCTTCTCTTCATTATAACAATTTATTATTGACATAAAGTACGTTTATAATATACAAAGAGGAGAAGTGATACATATTTACATGCATACTGAACTGAAGAAGAAAAAAACGTGCCAATAATTAAGAAAAAAATTCTTATTTATAATTATCAAGAAAGGAATCCTAGTGAACCAATCCATTTCCCTGCGAAATCCAGCGGCCATGAAACTAGTCCGACTATAATGCATGAAGCCCACACCATCCAGTTCAACCTCGTACTACTGTCCAATACATTTTCTGCTGCCACCATTGCTGCTTGACACAATAGAAAAAGAACGCATGCCACCCAAAACCATCTATTCTGGTGAAGACCTTTGAAAATATTCTTCTTTTCAACCTCTCTAGCAATGAATATGTTGAATAACTGGCAGAGAAACAAGGAGCTGTAAATCATGGACTTAATGGTGCCTGCACCAATTCCCAGGATTACACGTCCTTTGAGGCGAAGAGTCAAACATGTGGCAGTTTGATAAGAAGCTTGTATGGCAATATTTCTCCACATGGCCTTGGTAACAAGTTGTCGAGATGACTTCAGAGACATTTTCATTAGGATTTCTTTTGGCCACTCAGTCAGCAGTGCCAAGCCTCCGAGAATTGCAACCACCAAGTTCAACCAGAACAACTCAAATGCTGTCATGGGGGCATCCCCCCAAACTATAGTTGCAATGAAATTAATAGATGAGCTTGAAATGGTGATTATGAGCTGGAATTGGATAAATTTTCTTATGTTCTCACAAATGCATCTCCCGTTCTTGATCAGATCAACAAGAAAAGTAAAATCCCCGTTCCAGATAATGATCTCCGAGCAATCTCTGGCCATTTCTGAGCTCCAAGTCCCCAATGTCAGCCCTATATCAGCTTCTATTAGTGCTGGAGCATCATTTGTCTTCTGCCCCAACATTGCAACCACTTCACCCTTTTCTCTCAAGCACTTCACGAGAAGAACCTTGTCGTGCAAGGTGCAGCTTCCCATGATACAGATTCTGTCCAACTTCTGCATTCTCTCTCCGTCAGTTAAGTTCCTAAATTCCTCACCTGTTAGAGCATCCAACTCCGGAGTAAGCAGCCCACAATTGTTGCCAATAGTCCTAAGTACATCAATGCAATCTCCTGAGACTAGAATAGTCCTAACTCCACCTTCTTTCAAAGTTGAGACAGCGTTTCTTATATAATCCTGATTTATGTTTCTCAGGCCAACCATTCCTACAAAGATCAGGTCATTTTCTTCAATTGACATATCATTAGATCCATCTGTGCTTTTCCAAGCATATGCGATCACTTCTTGTCCATCTAGCATATAGTCACTAGCTTGTTCAAACATTCTCCTTTTTTCAGCATCTATTGTATGTATTGCCCCTTCAACATTATAGTAAAAAGAACACTTGGACAAAATATGCCGAGGATGTCCTTTATAATGTAAATTCCGCTCTTGTCCATTTTTTGTGGTTTTCAGCAAAAGTGCTCCACTACATTCTTGGGGAAGGTTACCCTCTTTATACTCGACAATGCTGCATTGAGGGCTTAGGGTTTCCCGTCGTAAACCAAATTTGTCTTCAGCCCAGGAGATAAGTACCAATTCCTTTAAATCATTGCCATTTGGAGATGACGACAGAAGTGATATTCCGATTCCATCGCATAAAGATTCGAGGACATTTGGGGACACCATAGAGCTTTCCCCAACAAATTCTTTATCCACAAAAAACTTGTCAACTTCCTTTTGGTGCTTTGTCAATCCACCAAATTTGTCAGTGCAAATGGCTGTAACTAATGCCACCTTAACACAAGCTAGTGGGTCTTTCTCTGAAGCGATTTCTGCTAGCGTTTTCCGGCTCCTACGGACAACTGCAAATGAAATGACAAAAGGTATGCCCTCCATTATCCCTACCACTGAGACACTTAGTGAAGCTATCAAAACTCTTGCTGTCCCCTTTGATTCTATTATAATTCCTTTGATGATATCTATAATAGTTTTCAAACGGGTAGGTTCTCCCTTTGGATCTGGTCTGTAACCGGATTCATCGTCTATTTTTCCCAGTGAATATCGTAGAAACATAACTATAAGGATAAGGATTGAAAGTAGGAGTCCAAAAAAATCCATACAGGTTCTCAATTTATGAAGTAAAACTTCAAATTCGCACTTCTTGACAGTAGACTCAATCTCCTTGCCTATCATCTCGCCCAACACTGTGGCCATCTCCACGGATGTCACAATCATTCGAGCATCTCCATCGATCACCCTTGAACCATAAAACAAAAATGGCTTTTTGTTGTCAATTAACCCATCGTTCAATTGTAGTGCTTGACCATCTACAAATATTCCATCAGCTGGAACCTGATATCCCTTCTGCAAACATACTATATCACCAACACGTAGATCAGATGAAGGAACTACTAAAGGAGGACCCCCTGATCTGATTACTTTCACTTTCCCATTCCTCCCTTCTGAAAACCATTGTTTCTGAAACTTTTTCTGATACCACCTTGCTTGGGAGTAAGAACGTATTCCTATGAAAACAACAAGTACAAAGATGGCAACAAATAAAATTGTCCCATCAAACCAGCCGTTGGCTACGCCTTCTTCCTTGATTCCAAAGGATAGGGATAGGACGGCAGCTAATGATAGAAGGAAGATGGTGTAATTGTTGCATCCTTCCTTAAAGATATGGGAGAAGTTGAGGGCTGGAGAGAGTTCGTTTTTATTGCATTTAGAAATAGCTTCATGGTCATCAGAAAGTCCAT